TAAGACTTCTAGAAAGGCATTTAGAAGGGGCATTTTTCCAAGACAAACTTAATGGGTTAGTGAAGGCTTCCTGTCAGTATTGGCTAAACAAAGTAGTAAAATAATTCTGGGTAGAGACCATCCCAATTACCACCTCCTATTAATTAGAAGGCACTTTGAGGATGGGTATTGCTTATTTATCGAGTCTACTCCAGAGATTAGCTCAACACATTAAACAGGATATTCAATAAATGTCTTCTTGAGTAAAAAGAATGGGGAAAAAAATCACTTAAAACCAGAAGTGTTGACTTTCGCCTTAGAGAAACTGAATAGGGTTCAGCCAAAGCTTAAAGCTCCATTTTTTCTGGCATCTCTGCAATGATTTCTATAATTTGGTTAGCCTGATATTGTGCATTGTTCTACTTATAATGCATTAATATAAGCTTAACAGACAAATATAAGCACTCATGCTCATTTCTTCTTCAAAATGGGTATAAATAAAACTAAATTATCTGACCTTTGAATATTCGTAAGTCCAGAAAAACTCAACATTCTAAAGGTATAACTGATTATTTAAAGTGCCTTTGGTCAAAAACAGGTATTTCCATGCTATATTTTAACAAGTGAACAGTTAGGATGCTAGATAGCAGAAGTTCTCACTTATGAATGCAGATCCCCAGGGACCACAGAGTTACTGTAAAGATTAAAGAAAAAAAAAGATTAAAGAATCTACCAAAGTACCAAGCAAAATCTATACCTCCATGGTCTGCTATGACAGCCACTAGCTACATGCAGCCATTGAACACCTGAAGTAGGACTAGTCTGAATGGAGAAGTGCTGTAGCTATCAAATGCATACTGGATTTCAAAGATTTTATATGAAAAAATAATATATCTCATTTATCATCTTGATATTGACTACACATTAAAATGCTAGTTTGGATATATTAAACTAAATGCATTAATTTTACTTTTTAAATGGGGTACTACAAATTTAAAATTATACATGGGGCTCATGTGGGACACCACTGCAGCAGAGTGAATAATTTGCAAAAAGTACTGCCATTTAACAAGTGTATGATACTTTTCAGACTATTAAATTTAAATTCGTTGATAAGTTCTGCTGTATGATGTTCTCTAAAAGTAAAACTTCAGTGAGAAAGAAGACATTTCTGATGTTAAATTACTTATACTCAGATATTGGGAACCACTACTTTGTATAAATTCACTGGCAAATTACCCATTTTTCTGGGTACTGGAAGTGGAGGGTCAGCCAGTGAACATGCAAGCACTTCAGGTTGCTCTTGGAAAGAAGCTTTATGAAAAACTAGAGGCCCAATGCACGAAATTCTTGCAAGGGGGCTCGGCCCTCGCAGCCCCGGCTTCGTCCTGAAGGTTGTCCCGATGGTCGTTCCGCTGTTCAGCCGTCCGGTCTAATTAGCATATTACAATTTTATTATTATAGATGTTCAACTGCAAATAAAAGGAGAAAATGGCCTTTACTTGCTGGAGTGAGGTTTTGTATAGATGAGATGGGCCAAAATAAACAAGTTCTGAGGGGTTCTAAATTGGGAGAGGTATTTTAAGGAAGGAGGGCAAGGTGAAGGTTCTCTATAGCAGGGGTGGGAACATCCAGCCCATGGGCCATATTAAGGCCTGTGAAATCATTTGTTTTGGCCCTGCCAAGGCATTAGGGGTGAGTTAATTAAATATTTGGTAAAATATAGCAGGCTAGTTTTTACACTGATAATTTTGTATGGCCCTCAAATGATGTTATATCCAAATGGGCCCAGTTGGTGTAGCTCAGTGGTTATACATCGACCTATGAACCAGGAGGTCACAGTTCGATTTCTGGTCAGGGCACATGCCTAGGTTGCGGGCTTGATCTCCAGTGGAGGGCTTGCAGGAGGCAGCTGATCAATGATTCTCTCTCCCTCTCCCTTCCTCTCTGAAATCAATAAAAACATATTTTTAAAAATCCAAATGGCCCTTGGCAGAATAAAGGTTCCCCAGTCCTGCTCTAAAGGAATTAATTCCAGTAGCAGTTTCTAAAAGAGAGACTGCCTGGCTTTCAGAACCCTATTTGGTCTTTCTGAAGATGTATAATTATTTTCATATACATTTATAATTTATATATAAAATATAATAAACTTTTGCTAGCTCACATAAACTTTATCTATCTGGAGTAAATTATGGATAATTATATTTTTTCTTTACTTTATCACATATAGCTTGCCATATGTTAAAACTAAGGAATGTGGAGGAATACTGCCAATCCAAACAAAGAGGTACTCAAGAGTAACAGCAGAAAAATACACCTACAATGGTTTCTGCTAGCCTTTATTTGAGAAAATTTACACAAAAATCCCCATCTGACACAAGTGAATCTGTATAAATCCCACATGCTTCTTTCCATTCAACAAACAGAAAAATGGCTTATGACAATGGTGTAACAAAGCTTACTTAAACCGCATCACTCTCATCTATATTTTATACAACTTGTTGAAAAATAGGTTCAAAACGGAGAAAACAGATAACATCCTCATTTTAAAATCTAATTTGCTCTTGCACTAGCCTTTTATCGAGGGCAAATAAATTTACTTTTTTGATAACATCAAGGTGTAATACCAATGAACTTTAAACCAAAAATACAAATGTTCTCGTTGGTAGTTTTGGCATGAGTAAAAGGAAAGGACATGAAAGAATTTTAGTTTCATAAATCACATTTGGGGACAAAAACATCAGCAAAATAAAATATTTGCCTATTCTATTTTCTTCGACATTTTGTCAGAGCAGGGTACTATAACCAACTAAGTAGCTTTCATTGCTTGTAAAAAGAGGAAAGGCACCAGTCAGAAATATGAAAGCATATCTTATTAGACCAATGGTACAAAACTTCACCTTTAAACGTCTAAGGAAAGCTTAACCCACAAATTTGGTCATTCTCTTCACTTGGATGTATCTTCTGTCGTTGAGTAATGTAATATCACAGATTTTCTCTACATCTGCTGCCTTTATGACAAGGATTCCGCTGCCAGGTCCTTAAAAGTAGTTCCTATCAATACTTAACAGCAGATGGCGATGTTGCACAAGTTAATGAACCACTTTTATGCCACACCAGAGAAATTCATACATACATGAAGTCAAAAGGGGGGTGGGGTGGGGGTGGGGGTGGTGGGGAAGGCTTTTGGGTTCACAATAGCTGAAATATTAACAGAACTGCCTGAGATTTTAACAACATAACTCACTCCCTCTTCCATCTTTGGACTTTATCCAGGTCAGCACAGCAGTGTTCTCTGTTAATTCTAACATGCTGCTGCTTAACTGCAAGCTGCATGGCCCTAAGTCCTGTAATTCTTGCCACTGCGATTAGACAAGCCCTGTAACAACAGTTAGCAAGGTTTTAAAAAGAGATTACAGAAAGGATGAACCCCTAGCTCCTTTCCTGGGAGAAGTGGGGAAAATTTCAAGTGATAGTATTTTTCATAATTGTTTACAAATATGGTCATTTGTATCCACATTCTCTATTTATATCAGTATTGGCCTTTAGGTACCTCATACTCATAGTGATTCTTGGCTTTGCTTTCACAACATGTATTCTCAAGTATTTACTGTATTCATGATGATCCTTCCAGTGTTGTTGTTTTTTAATATATCATATGTCTCAGGGGGGCATATAAGGTCAGGAATTAAATCACTGGCTGGTCATGTAAGATTTGGTAAATTTTCTAATTTTTTCCGTGGTACATGTTATGTTAAAAACTCAAGCAACCACATATCTGACAAAGGAGCCATATGTAGGCTATATAAGGAATGCTCAAAAGTCATTAGTATAAAGAATAATCTAATTAGAAAATGGGCAAAGAACATGAACAGATATTTCACTGAGGAAGATATATATGGCAAATAAGCTCATGAAAAGATGTCCATCATCATTAGCCATTAGAAAAATGCAAGTAAAATCATAATGAGGTCTCATTACATACATTTATCAGAATGACTAAAATAAAAATAACAGCAAATACCAGTGAGGATGTGGAGAAACCTGATTGGTCATACATTGCTGGTGGGAACATAAATAAAATGGCACTCACTCTAGAAAAAGAGTAGGGTGGTTTCTTAAAAAAATTAAACATGCTTACCATACAACCCAGCAATTGCCCTCGAGAGCATTTATCCCAGATAAATGAAAATTTATGTTCACATAAAAACCTGTACATGAATGTTCACAGAAGATTAGTAATGGCCCAAAACTGAAAATGACCCCGATGTCATTCAATGGGTAAATGGATAAACTAACTGTGGTACATCAATACCATGAAATACAACTACACAATAAAAAGGAACCAACTATTGATCCATGCAACAACTTGCATGGACATCAAGGGCATTATGCTGAGTGAAAAAAGTTAATCTCGTCCTGGCCGGTATTGCTCAATGGTTAGAATGTCAGCCCACACACGAAGGGTCGTGGGTTTGATTCCTGGTCAAGGGCATGTACCTGGGTCGCAGGTTTGATCCCTGGCCCCAGTTGGGGCACATGTGGGAGGCAACCAATCGAGGTGTCTCACTCACATCAATGTTTCTCTCTTTCCCCCTTCTTGCATCCCTTCCACGCTCTCTAAAATCAATGGAAAAAATATCCTTAGGTGAGGAAAAAAACAAACAAAAGAAGTTAATCTGGAAAGATGACATAATACATAATTCCATTTATATCAGCAGTTGCCAACCAGTGGTCCTCAGACCACTGGTGGTCCATGAGGTCCGAAAGGTTGGCGATTGCTGATTTACTTAACATTCTTGAAATGACAAAATTAGAGAGATGGAGAACAGATTAGTGGTTGCCAGAGGTTGGGGCTTGGGAGTCAGGAAGGGAGGTGGCTGTAGCTATAAAAGGGTAGCAAGGGTTCCCTGTGATGGAACTGTTTTGCATTTTGTGATGGTGGTCACATGAATTTACATATGTAATAAAACTGCATAGAACTAAACACACATAACTACACAAAAAGGAAATTCAAGCAATTGAGCACAAATGTTTTAATTCTCTAAAATGAAAAATTTTAAAAAGAGTTATCTATAGTTCAAAGCTCATTTCTATGAGGTGTCACATCCATCACCCTTTTATGAGACATAAAATTAAGAAAGGATACCTCCAGAAGCTATCTAAACATTTCAGCTAATGGTTAAGATAAAGTTAAGGGTGTTTTCACACAGAAATCCAAAGAGGACAATGAGAATAAAACAAGTTCCACATGGTCATTCAAATCTTGGTAAAGGAACTAGAGTGGAAGCCCGAGCTGGTGAGCAAGTGGGAGAAGGAAAGAAAACATGGTTTAAACAGATCACATGAGGAAACCCAGTACAAATGCTGGCTTTGGCATTATCTAGGTAACCCCTATTTTTTGTCACAGGTGACTCTATTAAGTCCTATTGTTGCAAAACCAGTCCAAATCCGATCAAGTTAAAAAGAAGTCCCTCAATGACTTGTTGGGTGTAGGTGGTAACCCATGTCCTCCCACACCAAGAGACATCAGTTCTGGCAAGAAGTTCCAACGTGCCTTTATGGTGCTGTTGATAGGATGCCTTAGGCCAGGCACGTCCCAGTGATGTTCTGCTGGCTGAGATACAAGGTGGGAGGAGAGTAGGCCTTATTACTCAATCAACTTCTTGGCCTTGAAGAAGCGGCGAAGGTAGAAGACCTGCCAAGTGGCTAGTCCAATGAGACAGAACATTGAAAAGATGCTGAAGTATAGGACCCGAGTGTTTGTTGATTCTAAAAAAATCGAAACAAAAACATTGTAAATGTAATGAAATGAGGCTCAGCAGGCTAAACGATGGCCAGGGAGGAAAGGCAATTAATTAACTTCACTTTGTCCCTAGGCCTAAGAGTAGGATTTCAGTTAGCTTTATCTTAAATTTTCATTATTCTATATATAAATGTTAAAATTTGCAAAGAATAGTCCTATCAATTTGATACATGGTAAGCAAACTGAGAATATGGTCAACTACGTATGGAAGTGATTTCTATTTCCTTGAAAATCTAACAAGGCTCATTTACCTGTAGCAGCAACACTGAAGTTAGCAATTATCTTTCCACACACCACCCCTCCCTCCACCCTTGGCAAAACGGAGAAAAGGGTACACCAGAATTTAAAGTCTGGTGATCTGATTCCTTTATGGTTCTCTTATAGAGAAACAAGAGCTGCCCTCCCCTCACCATTGGTATCGCGCATCTCCTCCTCTCGCTTCTTCATGTAGGCAAAATCATTAACGATAGATTCTGACAGGTCTTCTAGGCGTCGTAGCTCTACCTCTAAAGGTTTGAGCTTCTCAACTTTTGCAATCTGGAAAAGAAAGGAATCATGAACCCACGCCCTGAAAAAATCGCTCTGGTCAAGAACACGAGTCTTTTAAAATATTTCACCAAACTTAAAAACTCTTCGATCATTCTAAAGTTAGCTCTTCTTCCCTTCCCTACAAATGTTTGTTTCCATCTCAGACTTTTTTATACTTTAATTTTGATTAAAACCTCAGAAGTATTATAATGTGGTAGGCTATAAAGTAAGATATACTATTTTCGCAAGATTTCTGACTTTAATTAAGTACTTTACCCTTCCAATAATGTCTATGAAATAAACAATATTATTAGCATAGTAAATGTGAGTCAAAATATTAGTCAAATGTTAGAAGAAAAACCACCAAGTTCCCAATAGGGAATGCACATGAATGAGAGAGTAGGCATAACTATAGCATTAAGATAATTAACCCAGACTACAAAATTAGAGAATTCTGGTTTGCTCATTTAAATGCCACAATTTTAAATTTAGTGATCCAGAGCCCAGATGAATCCTAAGTCTGCTAAAAAAAAAAAAAATTGTTTTTATTTTTTTATTGATTTCAGAGAGGAAGGGAGAGGGAGAGAGAGATAGAAACATCAATGGTGAGAGAGAATCATTAATCGGCTGCCTCCTGCACACCCCACACTGGGGATCCAGCCCGCAATCCGAGCATGTGCCCTTGGCCATAATCGAACTAGGGATCCTTCAGTCGGCGGGCCGATGCTCTATCTACTGAGCCAAACCGGCTAGGGCTGCATTTGTTTTTAGAATGACACTGCTTGTTATCAAAAGAAATCTCCAGGGACTTCCAGGTAGATTAAAGAATGAGGAATGTGAGAAAGAAATGAACTGTCTTTCTTTCTCAACCTAGACATCCGAAATCCCCAAGATTTGACAAAAGCAAGGATTTTGTTATTCTAATTGTTTTTCTTATCAATTTTTAAATTATCATTTGCTTTAAAATGGGGATACTCCGATCTTAAAACTCAATACCAGCTGCTCTTAAATTTTTCTATATAAAGAATTCTTTAAAAATTCTTTTTCTACATCTGCTGCTTTACTCCCTATTCAATATACATTATATCTAGAACTCCTTACTTTTTCTTCTCTCTTGTCCAATTTGCCTTCCTTGTTCTTTTTCTCTGTTCAATGTTAATAGCTGTTAATATGGAATGCATGGGAAGAGTTTAAGAGTGTTCTAATGTTTCCTTTGCATATCTGTAATCTTCACTTAACTAGAAAACTGCTGTTAAGATAAGGATATAAAAATTGAGTGAATATTAAAGTACTTAAAATGTTGTGATAGATTTGCAATGACCCACCTAAGTTGTCTTTTACTGGATGTACACTGTTTTACATTTGTAAAATGTTTGCTAGAGTTAATGGTGTGACTGACACCTGCAGAACAGAACTAGGCTAACTGGGTATAAGATCTAACTCTCCTAGTTGAAACCCCAAATGCCAGGTTTTGCCATTAACATAGAATATATGTCTGCTGATTGATTTCATCCAGAGCTACAAAGCAAGGAAAATTCCCCAGGAAAAAAATACCAATACAAGAGACATATAATAAGCTGAACCTTAATCTGTTTACCATTTTGTTTTCCCTCCTGGTCTATAGTTCCCTCTCCAAAGCTTCCTGAATGAGATAGTATAAAAGCAATGGCGTGATACTTCTTTAGAGATAAATGATTTAAAGTTCCCTAAATAGTAACTTGCAAAAAGAACTGGAAGTGAAACTATGGCTGTGCCTCTGCCAGCTGAAAATAATACCTGTAAAAATTATTCTGAAGACTATTTCTAAGCTCCTCCCCCACTGTGTGTGTGTGTGTGTGTGTGTGTGTGTGTTTTTCAAATGGCAATAGCCCACGGTATAAAACCTGAAATAGATGCTGGAATTAAAATTAATTTGGTATTGAGGTTGCTTTTGTAGTTTAGAGCCCAAAAAACCTGTCCCCAATGCTGTTCCTTTCTGGTGTTTCATTTATTTTTTAATTGTACAAGCAACACCTAAATATGTTCTCCTGCTAAATAATTTAAAATATTCAGAAGCAAAGGAAATAAAAACGGCAAGTCCACTTTCATAGATCCTCAATTCTCACATCCACATATCCCCTCTCAGTGGTAACCATGATTATGAACTTGGTGTATACCTTTCCAGACCTTGTTAGAAGATACACACTATTTATGCTTTAGTATGAACATAAATGTGCACTGAAAAATGTAATTTAAAACTATTTACAAATAGGATCATAATGTATGTATACACTGTTGTACTTGCTTTTCTTTTCCCCACTTATGATCTTTCCAAAACTCCAGTGCTTGGGATTCACCTCCCTCTTAACTGCTGCACAGTATTCCATACTGCATCTAGGCCATTGTCTATTTAACCAATTTCCCAACCCCTTTTCTAGTATAGGTCCTACTGAAGACTCTATTCATAACCAAACAGCCCAGTTCCTATCATCCAAGTCAATTTTATTACCTCAATGAAATCCCTACTCAATCCTGTCCTTAATTCTAGTAAATTATTTTCTATGGGTGGGATAAAGGTCTCTTTTCCTAAAAAAAACAAACCTCTCTGCCTAATAACTACCTTTATTCTTTTTTTCTTTTTTTATTGATTTTTTACAGAGAAGAAGGGAGAGGGATAGAGAGCCAGAAACATCGATGAGAGAGATCGATCAGCTGCCTCCTGCACACCCCCCACTGGGGATGTGCCCGCAACCAAGGTACATGCCCTTGACCGGAATCGAACCTGGGACCCTTCAGTCCGCAGGCTGATGCTCTAGCCACTGAGCAAAACCGGTTCGGCTACCTTTATTCTTATATTAATTTAATATCTGGGAAGCTTAAAGAATCTAAATATTAAAAATTAATTTGCTATTTTAATTATCTAACATATGGATACTCAATAGGAAAATCCAACAACAATGATATATATTTGTATGCTTAATCTAAATCTAGAAATCAAAACAAATGTAAAGAGGGTTTTTTTGGGGTTTTGTTTTTTTAACATTTAAGACCCTAACAACAATGCTTTTTTTAGTGCTTACTGTGTGCAAGGCACCAAATTAAATTATGACCTCTGCTCCTCAGAAGCCCACAGTCTGGTGGAGAGGCTCACATAAAAAGCTGTAACCGTAATATAGAGCATTATGTATTAACTTCTACAACAAAGGCACACATTAAAAGTGGAACAGGAATAAAGTAGCATGAGATTATATAGCTGAAAGAGTAAAGGAAAACTTAATAGAAGTGGGAAGTTGGGTCTCACAAGTGGTGTGGAATTTGAAAAAAGGTGAGAAGGAAAGACATTCAAGGCTGAGGGGAACCTGCAAATCAAAACACAGAGGGAGAAAAGTGTAGGTCATGCTTAAAAGACCATGAGTAGTCTAATTGTGAGTAGTCTGATGTGCATGGATGTGCATGTTTATGCATGCACTCATGTCAATACACACATGTGCTAAGGAGATGGTGGTGGGTAAGAGCAAATATAAGTCTCAAAAGTTAGGTTGGAGCGAAGATGATGAAGAAGGTAGTATAATGAATTAGACCTATTAGTATATACCCAGGATGTGATATGATATGTATTTTAGAGCGTGTAACCTCACTTAATCCTCATAACCCTATACAAGGTGAATATTATTATCCTTAAATTTTTCACATGAAAAAATTAAGGCTCAGAGTATTAAATAACTTTCCCAAGATCTCAGAACCTCGTGGAGCTGAAATTGGAATCCATGTCTGACTATACATTGTATTCGGTAGGCACTGAAATTTGATGAAGAAAACCCGATGACCACGCTAAGTGTTTTCTGGATCAAAGGTGAAGTGAAAGAGCTATATTAGGTCACAAGGGTCTGGGTAGTTGTCCAGTTTATTAGTCAAATTTCCTAGGTTTCAGGCTGTTATTCTAATTTTTACAGACTAAGAGAATAAAATTTTAAAACAAATTATCACAAGTATTCTCAGAAAAACCCTCTTTGCTTGCCCAGGACTAAGCATTCAATGAATATCATCAATACTTAATATCATAGTCAGTACAAGCTAACAAAAAAACATCTATCAAAATCCCCACTGACTTCTGTGCTCTTCTAAAAATCTGTTTAATGTTAAAAATATCTGTAAGAATGTTAAATTATACATGTTTCATGAAGGCAGACCATTTTTCTAGTGTATCTTCTCTCTTCCACAGCTGGAAGGATGGTATGTATTTTGCCAACAGCTTGCTAAGAGCAAGGCCTATTTTATTTGACAGTGTGTGGACCATAGGTTTTCCACTAGGGGGTAGCATTTCCTTTGCAGGCTGCATTTAGCTGTTAAGTAATCAAAAAAATATTAGTACAAGGGACTTCATTTTACAAATGAGGAAACTAAAGATATTACAAAGTTACTAAGTCCTTTGGGTAGAAGACTATGACTAGCAGATCCATGGTCTTTCGACTTCCTACCCATGATTACCAAAGCATTTATTCAGCATCAAAACTGCAAAGCTCTGCTGTAAAATGCAAGTAAAACCAAATCCCTAACCTGCAAAAATACACACACTTAGTATATTCAAACCCTACCTATCTTTCAAACCTTAATCATGAAGACTCCTTTAGCCATTCCTTTCCACACTGATTCCCTCTTCCCTAAAGCCCTACAGAACTTACACTAGCCACACAATTAAGATTCAATCATACATTGTCATATTTACATTGTTTTTGTTTTTATCCTTTCCCCCTACACTAGTTTGGCCCTGAACTCAAGGAAATTTTTAAAATGTATACTTTGTATAGACCCACACACCTGATACATGGCAAACACTTATAAATTGCCTGTTCTGACCATTCCATGAATTCTTCAAAGGAGCCAACTTTCTCATAGCAGGTAAGTGCAGCTGGTCCCCTGAAGCAAGTGTTTCCTGAATGCTGAGCACTCTACATCTACTTTCAGGAGGCCCACTGTCCAGGAGAAAGCTCTCACTATCACACTCATTGCTAGTGTTTGGAAATGTTACAAGTTATAAAGTCTTTCCCTACATATCTACAACACCTCCAAAATAACTGTAAAACTACTCTTTTTAACCCATTCCAAATCTTGCACTCCTCAAATGATGATTTGAATCTGAAGAGTACAGTTATATGCAATTGTACCAAAGAAAGGTGTTAACTCTAAAAAACTGCTTCATAGAAACACATGTGAAACTAGCCTCTAGATCAGGGGTGGGGAACCTTTTTCTGCCAAGGGCCATTTGGATATTTATAACATCATTTGCGGGCCATACAAAATTATCATCTTAAAAATTAGCCTGCTCTATTTGGTCAGACATTTAATTAACTCATTCCTCATGCCAAATGATTTCATGGGCCTGCTATGGCCCGAGGGCTGGACGTTCCCCACCCTGGTCTCGAGAATCATTGGATTATTTTCCTTGGTGGAGCACCGAGACTCAGAAAAGAAGCTTCTTGTGGTAAGCCAAACTCAGTCAAATTACTTTGCTACCTCCACACCCACTACCACAGCCACTGAAAATTTGAGAAGCATGGCAATAAATTTGAATAGCACCCAGTTTAACGCAATGAAGATAAAGAAGACAGAATCACATTCAAGGACAAGTCTACTTGCATGTGGGGCATGTGAATCACAGGCCTCTTCACAGAAGCTGAAAAGGTCAATGTGCCAAAATAAGTCCAGATAATACTGCCAAACTTAGGACTAAATGAAATTTATTAAGATCTTATTTACTCTCTCATAGACATTTGGCAGTTTCCAGAAAGGGTAGGAGAAGGAAGCTTTTAAAATCTACTGAATTGACTATGCATCAGGTGCCTTACCCATGTTATTTCATTTAACTTATATCAACAAAGGGATTTTGGTTCTACTACACAGAACCAGAGTTCCTCCTTCCTGAGGGCATTCAGAAAAATAGACATTCTGGAAAGTCTTTAGCTGTTGCTCTAATGAGGGAAGCTGTTTTTTTGGTGTATCTGTTGATAGCAAATGACTGACTAAAAGAACCCCTGGGCAAAATAGGATTTATTTTGTAAATCATCACCCAAAAATATGTTTTGTTAAAAATTGATTTTTAGAGAGAAAGGAAGAGAGCCCCAGCTGGTGTGGCTCAGTGGATTTAGCGTCATCCCACGCACGAAGAGGTCATTGGTTTGATTCCTGGTCAGGGTACATGACCAGGCTGTGGGCTCATTTCCAGTGGGGGACGTGCATGAAGCAACTGATTAATGATTCTTTCTCATCACTGATGTTTCTCTCTCTCTCTCCCCCCTCACTTCCTTTCTGAAATCAATAAAAACATATTGAAAAAAAATAAAATACTGATGCCAAAGGGCCCAAAGACAAAGCCTCTCCATTATCTCAAGGGCCTAAAATTAAATGTCTCAAAACCTCTACATATGCTCAGTGCTCCCTGGTAATTAACCAGGGAACAAGTGGTTCTAGTGTCTGTCCATTTTCTTGTCACAGTCATTAGCCCAGAGACAACTAACAGCTATATCTAAGCAAAGTTCAAGGGAGCCTAGCCATACATTGAGAAAAGGACTGGTCTTTGGCTTATGTCATAACTACTTCTCCTCTTCCATCTCAATTTGATCTGCTTTTTTTGGGGGGGTGGGGGGTGACATTGCCAAAGAAAGTAGTGGGAGTTTTTTTGGTTAAGAAACAGAATTCAGAGCTATGTTGTAACCATGTGCGTAAAGAAAAGCTTAGGACGTGCCAGACTTCCACACCAGGAAACGGCGCAAAGGAAGAGCTGTGGTTTGCTTTCTGCTAGGGATTCCCCTCTTGGGTTAAGCAAAAGGTCAGGAAAGATAAGGAATGGCTCTTTCCCGGTGTCAACAAAGTCCAAGGAAATTCTAGGAGGTATAGGGGTTCAAAAGTGCTGTATGCCAGTGATGTCCACATTATTCTATATGTAAACTCACAATACCATCTGTTTTAGAGAACAAGGTAAGTCTAATCAAGTGGCCCATTTAATATATACCACCTAATGATAGCCTTCACATGGGGGGGAGGGGGAGTTACAAGAGATAAAATCCCACATAGGAATTCAATGAATGCTTGCTTACAGAATGGTCTGAGGTTGAGGATACAGCAGCAGTGACCAAAACCTGAAAATCATTTTACCTATTCTTCCACCTCATAATAACTATAACTTTTTATTATTGTTTTATACCTTACAACAGCACTCTAATATATGTAATCTTATTTAAATATAATTAAGATTCTTCTAAATCATGAAAGTTTAAAAGGATTTTTCACTTTACTTTTTTTTTGGCATGGTTCTTTTCAGTTTATTGCATGAATGAGTTAAATTAGTCCAAGTTAAAAGCAGACCCCAAATGGTTACATTATATAAGCTGTGAGGTTTTTTTAACTTGTGACAAGGGAGAGAAGGGAAATTCTACCCATTGCAAGGAAATCCTCACTTTAGTTTCAGAGAGGCAAAAGCACGTAAAACCCATGAAACTTCAGCTGGTGGTTTTTAGCCAGACCGAACTCTACTAGGAACTGGTGGATGTTCTGGCACTGGTCATCTTGTAGCTGAATTACTTCTCCACATTCTGGATGCTCAAATACAGTACCATTGCAGACAAATGTCTTCTAAACACCTTCACTAGTTTCTTTTGGTTGCAATCACAGAGATCCCTTGGACAGTAGAAAGGGTCTTCCTGCTACTTCTCTGTTAAATTTTTATATGGATATAATCCTCAGTGCTGGCAGAAAGCAGATCATCACCTTTACTTGCATCAGCAAAGAAATTGAAAGAGTGTAGGTTCTGGTTAGCGAACGTTCGATAATACCATAGGATGATTCCTTTACCTCTGGCACATAGAAAGGTGGGTGGGTGGAGGGATCTGGTGGGGGCAGAGCTTCAGGAAGCGAGGTGAGGCTCAAAGGGAGTCCTTGGTGGCAGCAGCTCAGTGACTGGGGTCTCTCTTTACTCTAAGTTTATCAAACAAAGAGTCTCTCTTGCTTTGTTTCTTTGAACTAAACTAGCTTGGAGACAGAAACAAGCAAATCAAAGTCTCTATCAGGACTCGTCTTCCATTCACTACTGCATACTTGCTCCTGTTTACCGCCTACACATAACTCGATCTAGTTTTGTTCAGTTGAACACTTGAACTAGGAAAAAGAGAAGAGACCTGAAGACCTGCAACTGTTGTTCTACTACTTCCTGTTGCAGAATCAGTCACTTCCAATCTTCTTCCATTTTAGGATATTCTGTTCCAAATCCTGACGAAAGCTAGAGCAATTTTCTGGTTCCATCCCTCCTAGAAAATTCTCTTAAATCACTTAAAGCAACTTAGCCTGTTTATTTCAGTTTACATTCTTCAAAAGCTATTTACATTTCCTGTACCCCACTTCTTCTTCATGCCCACAGATACTGTTTGTAAAGACTCTGATCTGGGTAAAAATACTCTTATCTTACTGTAAAGATCAATCCTCCATTCTTAAATAGTTCTTGTGGTTTTTCAAAGGTGCTCTTGATTTGAAGAACCATTTTGTGCTGCCCCCAAAGTCTCTCCTAATAGAGATGAAAAAGGCTCAGTTCCCCTTCCCCTTGTTTTATACACACCTCTACTTCCCTACTACCCAAATAAATGTCAGTTTTTATTCTCTATAATACTTCCTGTCAGCAAAAATTTCTCATTATCACTACTCCTAGTCCCTTGCAGTTTTTTCTTCCTTATTTCTCTCTTCCTTAGTCTGAAATAATTTTACCTAAAAGCTACTTATGGCTATTGTTGTTTTTCAAATGTAGCACAGTTGCTCAGGTCTAAACAGTGCTGAATCCATGCCCTAGATATAATATAAGGTGAGGCAAAAGAAGGTTTACAGTAGTTTTTATGAAAAATACAGTAATCAATAAATAATGGGGGGCGTGTGGGGCAGGGTGGAAGGGTCAGTGTGGGGGGGGAAGGAGACATGTGTAATACTTTCAACAATAAAGATAAATTAAAAATAAATAATAATAAAGAAGAAACTCTGTTTTGAGTACGCACAACTACTTTTGTCCCATCCTGTATAGAGTTGTCAGTCTGGGAATAAAAGCCTTAGCTTTTAAAAACAAATCACTTTTCTTAACCTTGGACATTAACATTTAAATAAATTCCAGCTTTTAAAAATTATAAGTATATATATACCTATTTGCTGTCTCAAGAGTGCTAATGGCATATGCTTGAGTGTTTTATCACACCAACATTGCTATGGGACAGCTGGTTTAGTTAGTCATTTGGCTGACGACACAGCTAGAGTTATTGTTTAGGGCTGTTAATACAACTTTTTGTATCAGTAAAATTGTAGCTTGGCTGTCACATGACTGCTGAGAAAACCATAGCCTTCTGGTCAAAGCACAGCCTGTTGGCCTGAATAGGTCACAGAAACCTCACAGCCCAGCACGCGACTGCCTCCTCTGGCTGTTACAGTGGGACATACCTCTTCATAATTTTTCGCCTCCACTCCATGCTTCATGTCTAGGATCACGAGTTGGTCAGGTAACCGCCCTGTTCCTGAGAAAGAAATCAAAGGATTCATTGTGCGGAATATTTAAAATTCCGGGAAATCACCCACCCAGCCTCCCTCTCCCTAAACCTCCCCCCTCAATAGAGGGAAACAGCCGCAAACTCCTCCCCCTACTCAGCTGCAGAAAATTCCTGGCTCTGGCTAAAATCACAAGCATTCCAGACAAAGCCTCTGTCTGTGCGGGGTGCCGGAAAGCAAATAGAACATGCTGCTGCCAAACATCTCTAAGCAGGCAGGACAGATACTGCAGCTGGAACTACAGAGGAATAGAAAGAAGGAGAGAAAACACGTAGGCTTATTGGGCTAGGAAATAAAACTCAAAAGTCAAAATAGTATAAAACAGAGTGGCATATATAGACCAACAGGTAATGGGGACCAACTTAGGTTGAAAAGATACATTTCCACACCTGAAAAGGTTGTCCTGTCAAATTTTGAGAAAAGGATTATTGGGCATATACTAAGCTTGGATTTACTTAATATAAACCAGTACTGAAAAGAACAAAGGATTTATCTAAGATTTCACTTTAATTTAAACATTCTGTTAAATGTACGGCCATTTCAATAAATGAACAAAATGTTATAGAATTATTCCCACAGAGCCAAGAAAAAACTTGATAATAAGAAGCATCTCAGGATGCTTCTTAGAAAGAGAAATGTCTATCTGGTATAGTAAGGCCAACAGAACCACGTTCATATTTAAAAAGGTAATCTGACTCAGCTTGATCAAAAAGGAATTCTAATCTTATATCATCAAGTAAGAGAAATGGAGACTTCATCAGCCCCAGAAAATTGCTCAGTCCTTTGGAATTCAATCCCCTGGAATTCACCTGATTATTTATAAAATAAAAACTGCCTACATGAAATTAGGACTTTGGGGAAATAGGGCATAAGCATTGGGACTCCTGAGACCAAAAGCCACAGAGAATGGTACTGTACCTTCTGCAGCCTGAGAGGCACTGGAGATTTTCTGAAACAGGCTGAAGTCAATGCAATAACTACTCATTGAGAGCTCACTGGTTGCTACAACTGTCCTGGAGACTACAGTCTTTGCCTTCCAGTAATTCGATGGGGATCTAACACATGAACATGAGTAACAGTTACAGTGAAAATGCAAACCAGTATAAAACTTTAAGAGGAAAAAACCCAAACTGGTTCAGATAATCCCAGTTATGGAGCAAAGGTTAGAGGAGGGAAGAGATTAGTTGTAGGTGGACCTCACTGAAGAGGGAGCACCTGAAGGCAGGACAAAGTATTCTAGGCAGAAGACAAGCATGGGCAAAGGCTCAGATACTGAAATGAGTAGGGCATGCGTAAATGACAGTAAAGAAGTTCTTTTGGATAGACTAGAAACATCAATTTAAAAGCAATAGAAATAAGACTGAACAGGTAGGATTGGGAAACGATAACAAGCCACCGATGTCTTCTAAGCATTTAAGCCAGTAAGTCTCCAAAACAAAACAACAAAAAGCTGTATCCAGAGAAGCCTCTTCTCCCCACTCCAATGTGTAATCCTGATTTCAGCACTGCCCACAGAGATGCATGCAAATTTTTGCTTCTCCTTTCTCATTTAAAAAGTTGTGAAATCCAAGCAGCTCATAGTCCTACCTGGTCCAAATGATCAAGATATTCTCTTCCTAAGACTCTTCCCACTTTTCCTTTGCCACAGCATAGCATTAGCATTATTCAAACACAAGTGAAACCACAAAGCCACTCAGGCTGGTCTGAGTCCAGACTACACAATCTCTTGCACAAAACAGCCAACCTGATTCCCATCAGCGGTTCTCAACCTGTGGGTTGCGACCCCTGAAAATACATCCTGCATATCAGATATTTACATGACGATTCATAACAGTAGCAAAATTACAGTTATGAAGTAGCAATGAAAATAATTTTATGGTTGGGGGTCACCACAACATGAGGAACTGTATTAAAGGGTCACCGCGGCATTAGGAAGGTTGAGAACCACTGCATGATATCAAGACCATAAAGGGTCTCCATTGTAAAAAGACTCATTTATTTCTATATTTTCCTGGAAAAAAACCAACCTTTTAAAAAGTGTTCCCAAGACTACAAGTTCTCCATATCAGAATAAACAGAGAACACATGTAAACTAGAAATTGAGTGCTTATTATGTGTCTGTGCGTGTGCATGCATATATCATATATTTTAAAAATTAGTTCCCAGGCATCTGCATGCACAGCATCAGCAGCATATAAGAAAGAAATTCAGAACAAAAGACATATTTAGGGTTATGGGTAGGTTTAGTGTTAGGATTAGGGTAACGTTTAGGGTTAGAATTAGAATAGGTTAATGGCTAGGTTTAGGTTTAGGGTTAGGGTTAATTTTAAACTTTTTAAACAAGTTTATGTATATGAGACACATATCTGTATAGATATATAGGATGTCCCAATAAATGTGTACATGCTTTAACAGCTGATAACTTAATTTTCCCTCCTTTTCAGGTTTGATTGATTTAAAATAATGGGTGAAGCCAGACTAAGCTTTGAACAAAGAAAATTTATCCTAAAGTGCCATTAAACTTTTTTTAATTGGGACACATAAAAGATAAAAGTTTATGGTACAGAGCCAGCAATAGTCGATGAATTGAGGACACACAAGTACCAAAAAAAATGATGCTTGATGTTTGCGATTCCATTGCTTCATGTTATCAGCAGTGCCTGGACTGTAGAACGGTCATCAGTTTGAAAATAGGCATTGACAAAAAAAAACTTATTTCTGTAGATTTTTTTAAATTTTGAAAATGAACTGTATGTTAAACACTGACTTTACAATCATTCAAAGTGTGCATAGATTTTTTGGGGCACCCTGTATATATTTAAATACTTAAATTTTACATATATATCTTCAAATATCTACATAACTAGTAAGTGATGTACTATTAGAAGAAGCCACATTAACCTCTTTGCTATTTCTGAGAGATGCTCAGCGTCTCAAAGTGTTTTTTCTCCAAGACCTCATTACCACCTGACTTTATTTTTATTGTCTGCTCCAATGAAAATGTAATGTCCAAGAGAGGAGAGACTTCCGTTTTATATTGCTATATCCCTAACACCTAGAACAGTACTTAATATATAGGGCACTCAATAATTATTTGCTAAATGAATCAACTGACTGAGAAATTAAGAAGGCTAGACTGTTGAGGAAAGTACTCTAAAAGAACTAACGTTAAACTCATGTTTAAATGGGAAAAGAGCATTCCAGTAAATGAGTAAATGTGACATGTTTAGAGGGCAAAGCAAACCAGACTGGCTGGGGGTCTGATGAGTAGTGGAAGATAAGGCTGGAGTGAGAGTATAAGGCAGTGGTTCTCAACCTTGGCTGCACATTAGAATCACCTGGGAATATTTTTAAAATCCTGATTTCTGGGCCTCATCCTCCGGAAATTCTGTTTCTTTGTTATGGGGTGAGGTCAAAACATTAGTAACAAAGAAACAGAATTTCCAGAAGATGAGGCCCAGAAATCAGGATTTTTAAAAGATTCCCAGGTGATTCTAATGTGCAGCCAAGGTTGAGAACCACTGGTATAAGGACTATTAAATACCATGATACCTAAAGTCCGGTCCAGCTCAAAAATTGTATGATTCAGGTTTCATTCTACAGATCAGGAATATTATTGCTACTACCAAAAAGGGAGGTGCCATTTTGGGGCTCAGCCCATCTGGTTTCCAGATGATCTAATAAATTTACAATTCTTTACCAAAAAAAGAAAAAGAAAAGGGAAAGCTTTTGAAAAAGGACAATCATAATGAAAGATATGTTTTAGGAGATAAATCTGGTACCAGTATTTGGATATATTAAAAACAGGGGTATTAGTTACAAGGCTAATGACATAATTAATGATTTAAAAGATTAGAGTTCAGATTTGTGTGGTGACAGATACAGAAGAAATTTTGAAAGAAGTATCAGCATAACTTGATGACAGACTGGAAAAGACAAAAATAATTTCAAAAATATGAGCTCAAGTAACTGGAAGGACGGTGGTAATACTGATGAGAGAGGGGAACTAGTTTGAAAGTTCATGACATCTTAGTTTTGAGGTAAGAGTAGCACAACCATGTCGAAATATCTCGACTATTGTTGAGACATCTTGGAACTGATAGGGGTGGGGGGCAGAGAAAAGGATATCAATCATGAAATCGCTATTAAAGTATTGAATTTTTTATTAATCTATTATTCCATTTACTTCAGGCAAACACCCTTACCTTTAGGCTCACTTGACCCATTTTAGATCAAAGGAGTCAATTCTTGGTTAACTGTCAAAAGCACCAAGTTGATCTGCTGTTCCTGGGACTCTACTAGAGCCGTTGGCCAAGGTGCTTGCTTTTCTGCTAGGATCGGATACTCTGAACATTCTATAAATGTGAAACTGCCAGAAGTCCTTTTGCTACCATACACAGAGAAAGCCTGAGAATAAAGTCAAATGGAGGAAAGGAAAGGTAGAGTTCCAACAATCCTGTTAAAACCCCAATATCCAGTCTAGCCTGAGGTCAGCACCACCATTAAGACTTCCCAGTTCAGAGAGTCAAATGGTCTTCCTCTTCTTTCTCTTTTTAAAAATATATATTTTTATTTGATTTCAGAGAGGAAGGGAGAGGGTGAGAGAGATAGAAACATCAATGATGAGAGAGAACCATTGATCGGCTGCCTCCTGCATGCCCTATACTGGGGATTGAGCCTGCAACCCGGGCATGTGCCCTGACCAGGAATCAAACCGTGACCTCCTGGTTCACAGGTCGGCACTCAACCACTGAGCCATGCCAGCTGGGCCTCTTCTTTCTCTTTACGCCAGTTTGAGTTATGTTTTTTGTATCTTGTAGCCCAAAAGGGTCCCAAATAATATAACAAGTATAAATACAGACAGCTTTTAGAATCTAGTGTCCTTAAGAGTGAAAGAATAGGAAGTATAGGGGAATCTACTTTTTACCCACCACTGATAATCAGAAAACATCGGGTAATCAGCTTAAAGGTTACTATGGGATCTTGGTCTTGAGATGCACAGAAGATTCCATAGCAAGATATTAGGACTAGAAAATAACAAATGCTCTGAAGACCAAAACTGCTTTGGACTTTGGAGGATACTGAATAACATTCCATTAATGTTACTTTGTGATAATGTTGATGAGATGCCATAGGATCTTAACTCTTGTTTATATCAATTAGCCCATAGTAAAACTGGTTTCATTATATGTCGTTTCGCTTAAAGTTGCAGAACCTATCTACAACATTAGTCCTAGCTGGTTTGGCTCAGTGGGTAGAGTGTTGGCCTGGGGACTGAAGGGTCCTGGGTTTGATTCCAGTCCAGAGCACATGCCTGGGGTTGTGAGCTTGATCTCCAGTAGGGGGCATGCAGGAGGCAGCCTATCAATGGTTCTCTATCATCATTGATGTTTGTCTCTCTCTCCCTCTCCCTTCCTCTCTGAAATCAATAAAAATATATTTTTAAAAAAAACAAAAACAACATTAAGTGATGACTTACTATGTTTTTTAGCATCTATACCAAATTAAACTCTTTTCATTCAAGCCCAGTGTATCACAGCATTTAAAAAATGCCTACTCCTGCACATGAAGAATGATACTTTAACTTGTATATATGTGCACCCCAGCAAGTGTAGTTTTCATTTCCTCTCCTTCTGGCCTAAGAGAGAAAGTTCATGCTCTTTCTTACTTGAGAGAAGATACTTAATTCAGGGACAAACACTCTGATTACTTACCCTTGCTCTCAAAACACACTTCAAACATGTCATAATCTTCAGTGGTAAAGGCAAATTTCCCCTTGGTTGCATCCTCCTTGGAGTACAGAATATGGCCAGCAGAATCTGTGATCTAAAATAAAAAAGTAAGTAAGAGCAGGCAGCAAATAACACTCAGGAAGAAAACTGATAGAAACTGGAGAAATAGAAAGAAACACTGTCTATAAAAGACATTTATCATAATGATGACCATGTTCCAACTATTCCCAAAGATAGGAATAGGATGAGAGGATGAAGCCCAAATACAACAAATTTCATTCATTCAAGCGGCCTATCCACACTGTAGGTTAAAATCTGTTGGCACTATATAATGACAGTTGAGATATAAATTGGGTTTAGTAGCAAAGGTTCACTTTATAGAATGTAGAACAGTATTTCCCAGAAAGGGATATGTCACAAAATGGAAGTGGACGATTACCAAAAAAATATACTACAAAAAGGATAAAGATACATAAGAACACATCTCTTCTGTAAAATAATTCTTGATAGGGTTGAGAGGTGGGGAGTGGAATAGGATATCTGATATAAGGAGAGAAGGAAAAGAAGGCATGCACAGAAAAGAAGATCTGGTAGCTGTGTTCCTCCAAATGTCATGCTAATTTGTCAGTGGCTACCTGGGATGGGAAAGAAGCCCAGGGATAAACAAAAAGTTCTCCTGAAGAAGGCATCCTCGGCTTCCACAAATGATAATGCCTTTCTTATAGGTTGTTAGCTTTAGGTCTCCAAACTTAAACTGCTCCATTCCTAGCGAATGGCTTGTAAAGAAGGGAATTACATGGTGACATGACAGGTTGGATCTCAGGCTTCTTTTCTAGAGCATATGGCTGTCTTAGCAGAAGGCAATTTCATTATCTAAGGCAGAAGCTACTTGCAATGTGCAACACAAAAGTAGTGGCTTCATTATATTAAACTGGATATTCTAACGCTGTTTTTAAAACAAGATTCATTTATAAGTGAGATTTTAAATTTAAAAACTGAGTAGCACACATATACGCCTATCTATTTAAAGCACTTCACTAGTTATTTCTGAGTAGTGAGTTTTCTTTATACTTTTAGTTTTCTCTCAATTTTCTACAAAGGCACATATCACTTATAGGCAGAAACAAAGTTATTTCATTTTTTGGGGAAAAACATAATAACTAAAGAATAGTTATCACAGATAAGACAAATTTTTAAATGATGGGTTAATTAAAAAGGTTTTATGACATCTTCTAAATTCCCTAAAAATAGCCCTAACCGGTTTGGCTAGGTGGATAGAGCGTCAGCCTGCGGACTGAAGGGTCCCAGGTTCAATTTCGGTCAAGGGCATGTACCTTGGTTGCAGGCACAACCCAGTAAGGGGTGGGGGTGTGTGTGCAGGAGGCAGCTGATCGATGTTTCTCTCTCATCGATGCTTCTAACTCTCTATCCCTCTCCCTTCTTCTCTGTAAAATATCAATAAAATATATTTTAAAAAATAATAAAAACAAATTCCCTAAAAATAACAGCAGTAATAGTAATCAAGTATCTTCTGCCATGAACGATGCTGATCATTCATTATGGTCAAGCATTTAAGATCCCTCAATCTGCATTGGTCACTGGGGATACAAGGATGTGTAAGAGAGCTCCTATCTTTAAAGGGCTTAAGAATCTAAATAAGGAGAGGAATAAGAAAGGAGACCTCTACATTGTGAAAAGTGCATTACTAGAGGTATGCACAGGTGCCCCGGGATTATGGAGGGTCAGGGAGTGTATCATGAAAGAGATGACACATGAACTGAGTCTTCAAGGATGAGTTGCAATCTAGAGAAGAATTGGGGAAAAGGCATTCAGGATACAAGAGACAGCAAATATGAATGCCTGGGGTCCAGGAAAAAAACAAAACAAAACATGGTATCATCATAATACCAATAAGTGGTGCTTATTGAACACTTACTAAGTGTCAAGTACTATGCCAGGTGCTTTATACGCATTTTAATTTAATCTTTACTATAACTCTATAGGTAAAGAACTATTATTTCCCCATATTCCACAGGAGAAAAGTGAGGCTCGGAAAGACTAAGAGGCTGGAGAGGTACTGACACGATCATGTAGAACTGTAACATGTTAAGAAGTTTAAATTTCACTTAGTACAAAGTGGAAAGGCAATGAAGAATTTGAAACAAGAGAGTGCTGCGATTCAATTAGCAATTCAGAAAACATGAATCTGATACTACTAGGAAGACAGACTCAAGAGGGACAATACTAACGATAAGAAGATGGGTTAGGACACTACTCTGGTACTCCAGATTAAAAATAATGAGGGCTGGCCAGGCTGGTGTAGCTGAGTGGTTGAGCATCAACCTATGAACCAGGAGGTCATGGTTCAATTCCCGGTCAGGCAATATGCCCGGTTTGCAGGCTCAAACCCCAGTGTGGGATGTGCAGATTCTCTCTCATCAATGATATTTCATCTCTCTCGCCCTCTCCCTTCCTCTCTGAAATCAATAAAAATATTAAAAATAAAATAAAATAAAACGACTAGGGCGACTTTGAATATAGAGAAAAGGTGACAGATTTGAGGGATTTTAAGGAGGAAAGGACCACAGGACAAGACCAAAAAATAAATGCCCTGAAGGATCAAGTGAGCAACATAACAGAGTCTAATGGACCAGTGTAAGTCCATAGGGTGTGGTTGACAATGTGGAAAACTGGATGGGTCTGTCTTAAGGAAGAAAACAGTGACATGCCAGGTTTCCAAATCATCCAATTTTTCAAAAGAAGTTGTGAACATTTTAACTTTTATTTGAAATCTCCTAATTTTTAAATCCTCACAACAAATCCCAACATTTGAAAAACTCTCAAGGCCAAACAAAAGATGTCAATAGGACCGAGTTCTTCTGATCCACCAATTTCTGATCTTTGCATAGGACAGGAAGAAAACTGACTACAATTACATAAAAGAATTGGGGGACAATACTAAGGTCTCAGCTGAGATCGTGGACCATAGCTTTCTAGCAGCCAGGATGCAAAAGCAGAGAAAAGTATTAAGTAATTTAGGCTACGAGTTCTGCAACTGAATGGTTTTGAAGGCTAAGGGGATAAAGGAATTATGCTATAAACTTTTTATACATATTCTTTAATCCTCACAATCACCCCATAAAAGCCAGTCTTATTATCCTCATTTTACTGACGAGGAAACTTAGTAACTTATCCATATCACAGAGTTAATAAATTGTGTATGTGCATTTGAAGCAGTCTAAAACCATGTTCTTTTCACATTCCATGTTGCATCCCCACAAAAGGAATGTCTGAAATAAGTGGTATGCAAAGATGCCAAGAAAGACTAACAGAATCTGATGAAGTATTTGGGTCAGTGCATGTCAGAGAACCTGTGAGTCTTCTTGAGTGGGACACAGCACTTTTCAGTCTGTATTCTCCTCCTTAGAGATTAGCAGGCAGCCACAAGGTAAAGTCCTTGATGTCAGCAATAACTAATAGATAATCTGCAAGCGAATACATAGCCCTAAAGATTCCAAAAGACCTCAACTAGAAGAAAAATCCTAATAAAGAACTACTTTAGAACCTGGGATACACAGATTATAGGGCAAACAGGTCTGGGAATGAGTAAAATCCCAGTGATGTGTAGTCATCCGTGTGGTGCCACTCTTCCTTTCTTCAGAATCTATTCATCCATCAGATATTCACACTTCCCCACTTTCCAGCCCCAAAAGCACAATGACAATTCTTTTTTATTTTTTTAATATATTTCATTAATTTTTTACAGAGAGGAAGGGAGAGAGATAGAGAGTTAGAAACATCGATGAGAGAGAAACATCGATCAGCCGCCTCCTGCACACTCCCCGCTGGGGATGTGCCCGCAACCAAGGTACATGCCCTTCACCGGAATCGAACCTGGGACCTTTCAGTCTGCAGGCCGACGCTCTATCCACTGAGCCAAACCGGTTTCGGCGACAATTCTTAAAAGTAAAGAGGAAGCTCAAAAAGACAGACTCTAGGAATAACAGATTTTCACATTCGAAGCTGATCTAAAAACTCGAATTTGGATTTGGCTTCTATGTATAAAGTTACAGAAAATGTAGAACTTCTCCAAGGCACACCTGAATAAAAATAAGTTTCTGAATTTGCTCAATATACTAGCTTAGTTCTTAAGGGAAAAAGGAAAGGATTACAGGCTGCTAGAAAAGTTTAAATGTAAATGAAAACAGTAGAGGACAGCAAGAACTAAATATCAAGGGTATAAGTACTGAACAGTCATCACAGAAGTCATCATCTTCAGTCAGGCAGGGAAAGAGGCTAGGTCACTGGCCTACAACAAACAACCCAACTTAATTGGGCTTACAAGATTTGGCACACATTTGCCATTTTATGTCCTAGAATAATAGCTTATGATCTCTTTGTATTCTCCTAGGATATTAAAAGGGTTCTTAAAAAAAGTTATTAATTTAAGGAAACTCTATAGATGATAAAAGAATCTAGATGCAGGTCAAGACACTCTTAAGGTATTGGCAAAAATCCTTTATCGAGTAACTTGCAAAATGAATCAAGAAGTCTGTCATGTTTTTCTGAAAGGCTCTGATACAATCCACTCCTCCAACTGGTACTTGGAGCGATAAAAACTGTTAAAATTTTCCTCTACTTTGTACTGAGGAACTATAATCATGGTAGAACATCTTGCTTTGTTGTTTCTTTCTATAATATCTGAAAATGTATTAAAAGTTCATTATAGGGCAAAAACTCAAATACTTTATAAGAGGCTGAAGACAAAGGACCCATCACTGCATGTTCCTTCTTCAACATGAAATTTACCTCCCAGAATAGTGTGTGATAATGATCACAATTCTCTTGGCGCCTCCACATTTCTATATTGCTTATGATATTGAGTTGACAGAACTATATATGAGGCTATTTGTCTAGAAATTTGGAAATCCATGCAGACAACTTGACAACTTAACCTTCAGGTCAGGCTCTAACAGATCCTAGAATTTTTCTGAAAATCAATCTATTTTCCATGTAGTTCATAACTGTGCAGCTATTTTAGGAGCCCAGTCACTGATCTTAAGGGGGGGGAAAAAAAAATCACATGACCCCAAC